GGATGGAAGGAAGGAAGGAAGGAAGGAAGGAAGGAAGGAAGGAAGGTCGGTCATAATAATCCTTGGACTGTGAAGAAATTTTCTCCTCACCAATGCACACCACCTTTTCCAGCAAAATCTTTTCAAAGCAGACCCAACCCCCAACCCCCAAAAGTTAGCAATCTATATTGCTTTGGTACCAAGCTAGGGACAATTTGGAAACAATTAATTTCCAGGCTATTCTGATGCAAGTCGAGAGGCTATTTGCTTCACTCTTATTGTAGTTAAGAGACATTACAGCAGAAGAGTTCCACTGTGTTAAGAATGGAGAGGTTATTTACAAGGCAAAGTAATTATGACTAATAAGCCTGTGAAACAAAACAAAGTATATTGAGCTTACCTACATAGGTCATTCATGCAGCTGGAAATGTAGGGATAAGGATCTATGCTTTGATGACAACTTAGAAAAGGAAACTGCAAGAGTATTTGGCACTTGAAGTAGATACTCTATATATAGAATAAAAATGGTATTGAGATACATACATACATATATACAAACATACATATAAAATAAAACATACAAAAAATTCCCCCCATCCAAGGACATTTTATTTATAAACCTAACCTAATAACTCTTTTGAAAGTCAGTACATTTTTCATTATATCAACTTTTTGTGTTATTGTCGAGGTAGTTCTTGCTTACCAACTGCCTCATTTAGTGACCATGTGAAGTTACAATGGTGTAAAAAAAAAAACAAGCTTTGCAACAAGTTCTCACATTTATGACTATTGCAGCATGCCGCAGTCATGTGATTGCCATTTGCATACTTCCCTACCAGCTTGCAACAAACAGAGAATAGAAAAAGCAGAAGTAAAATCACAAGTTGTGGTCATGTGATATTTCGGTTAACGACTGCAGTGACTTGCTTAAAAACTGAATGGGAAGTGACATCATAAGTCCATTACAGTCACTTGATTTTCCACTTAGTGACCACGGCACTTTGCAATGGAGTTGCCAGTTCCAATTGTGGTCACTAAGTGAGAACTACCTGTATTTCAAATGCTAATTTTCCCAACAACCTAACTTTCCAAAATGTAGAACATAACACAACAGATAACATTTCCATGAGGAACTCTAAATTTCTGAAGTAAATATGACACAGCAAACATAGAAATTAAACTGTAGTTTCACCTGGGAATGAACCAGCTTCAATTCTGTACAAAGCATACATTAGCAGATTAATATCCAAAAGCTATTACATTTCTAAATTCATTTCATTCCTTCAATATTATAAGTAGCAACTTAAATAAAAATTAATTGCGTGGTGAGACAATGAAACAAAAATATATAATACTTATCAGTACTACAACAACTTCATCTTTATCTTGTAGCTATTTATGTTTCATTGCATTTTATTAAAATATCATGGTGTAGAAATGTGAGAAAAAGATAATTTGTGGGGAGAAATGACGTATTTTCTGTAGCTTGGGTCTTGAAAACTATGAGTACAAGAAAGGTTACAAAGCAGACAACTCCTCGCTCCTCCTTATAACCTGAATTATCCTGTATACATTTATTCATTTTTATTTTATTATTAAATTTGTATGCCACCCATCTCCCCCAATGGGTGACTCTGGGTGGCTCACAATTAAAAAACCAAAAGTCTAAAACCTATATACCGTATTTTTCCGACTATAAGACGATACTTTTTTCTAAAATCCTTACTCTAAAAACTGAAGGGCGTCTTATTCAAGGAAGTCAGCCAAGAATCGCACGGTTCCAAACTGCCCATACTTTGTTTCTGCAGAGAGGCTTCCTCCTATTGCTATCCTCCCATCACAAGTGAAATAGCTTGTCTCCAAAACAGACTTCCTCCAATCACGAGCCTTATGTAATTGACGTCAGCTGATGCTGAACAAACTAATTAGAGGAAGGCTGATTGCAGAGACAAGCTATCGGCAGTTTCACTCGTGATTGAATGTAATCAGTTATGCAAAAGAGCCTGGAAATAGAGCT